TTTTTGCCCAAGCCTGGGCCTTGGATGGCCTCTTCCTCACACCATCCTCCTACACGGACCCCTATGCTAGTGTTTGTGACTCTGAGTCTTAGGAATGGCCAAGGAGAGACCATTTGCAGTATGTGGACACGTGGCTGGGGTATCCTCTGTGGACAATGGAGCCAAGGATAAGACAAGAAGTAGGGGGGTGCTACAGGCTCAGACATGGTGCTGAGATTCTAAACTCGAACCTGATCCTTCCAAGTGGTTATTTTTGTCAAAATAGGAATATAGAACATACTTTACTGGGCAGTATACTCGTTTGACTTATGCCTTCGCAGGATTCTACCTTACCATGTATGGCCTTCCTCTGGATTCCGGCCCTAGCCTGCAAAAATCAAGGGTGCTGGTAGCATGGTCCAAGTGTAGTGCTCAGGGACAAACAGTACTGCATGTACAAAACACAAAACCAATCTGTCTCCACACATCAATAGTCTTCCTATTTTATCATGGCATCTTATGGAGAAAGTGTCCATGTGTTAGGTAGTAGCTAGCCATAAGCAGTGAAATGCATGGCACAGTCACAAGTGTTTTTAAATTACTTTAGGGTCTTCTTTAAACTACTTCCTAAGTAGATGAGAAAGCAAAGGGTGGTAGTTAATTTGTAGAAAATAAACAGAAACAAGGGAGCTAGTTAGAAATCATGTCAAGAGAAGAGGATTAACTCTGGACAGGGTCCATTGATGTCGATGTAAAGCTAGGAACTAGGGCTCTAAGTGTCTCCAAGTGTCTGGGAAGAAAGATTCTTTTAGCAGCACAGGTGCCTTCTGACCAGCCATTGACCTCAGTAGCCACATTTACATGGGATTGACTTGTAGATGAAGCCCCCCTAAATAGGATGGTCACCATGACAGTTCCAGAGAGGACCAATTAAGCCAAACAACTCCACTGCCTGACGTGAAGGAGGAGGTGAACACCTGATTGACAAAAAGTATAGAAGGTGCTCCCCAGTTCTCCTGACAAATGTCAAACAGTCATAAACTCGGAGACAGCATTCATTGTCTCCTTTGGACATGGTCCACTCTCTCTCTTGAGAGTGCTCGCTGCTTAAACCTCACTTTGTTTTTATTTTACTTTCACTTCACTTCCACTTATAATAAAGTTCTCTTGCATGATTTTTGGTGTCTGACTTTAAATTTTCTTTCATCAGAACACAAGAACTAAGGTTTGGAGTTTTACTCCTTGATTTCCAGTGAAAGGTGTAGATATTTCCACTTGCCTAGTGTTTCTACTCGTCCCCATCCGCCTTTCTATTGCTTGACTTGGAGATGCATGTGCCCTGACAGTTGTCATATGGCAGCCACCAGTGAAAGCTGTCACTTTGTGATAGTACCCCCTTGGTGGTCTTGAAAAGTCAGGTGAATGTGCACAAGCAAATAATTTTGTCTTTGTTGGAAAAAAAATTTAAAGCACATGCTTCCTCACACAGTTAGTCACTCTTCCTCTGAGTCCCCGTAGGTGCTTATTTTATAGTATCTGCAGAAATTTATTTCTGTTCCCATGTCCCCTACTGGGTTCAGAGCTCCTCAAGAGCTGGTGCTGCATCTTTCTCTTTAGATTTCTACCCGCAGCCCGGTGCTTTGTGGACACATGGTGACTGTTCTGCTTTGGTATAATAAAAACAATATCCAGTATATTTAGTCTTCTACCTTTGTTATGGACAAAGAGCTCCTAAAGCCCTTGAATTTTCCCAGTAATAGGAATGACTCTTGTCTGCTGATGAACTGCCTGGGGGAGGAGGGCAGAACACCAGAAAAACCAACCACATGATGACAGAACTAGAAATTTCAGTCCTATCCCAACCTTGTAGAGGGAAGAGAAGCTGGAAGTGGAGCTCAATCCTTCATGGTCAATGATCCAATCAATCATGGCAGTGTAATGAGGATTGATTAAAATTCTGGGATGATAAAGGAGGAGCTTCTGGGTTGGGGAACACATCCAGGTGTGAAAAGGTGGCACTTGGTGATGCCCCAATCCCTTGCCCTCTGTGTCTCTTCCATTTGGTTATTCTTGAGTTGTATCCTTCATTATAAACTGGTAATCGTAAGCTAAGTATTTTGTGAGTTTTGAGTCATCCTAGCAAATTATCAAATCCGAAGTGAGGGTCACAGGAATCCTCAAATTGGCAGCCAACTCAGACACGTGTGCAGCCCTGGGATCTGGGGCTTGTCACTGTCATCTGAAGTGTGGATGGTCTTACACGACTGAGCCCTTAACATATGGGGTCTGTTCTAACTGCAAGTATAGTGTCCAGATTGCACCAAGTCTTGGAACACTCAGTTGGTGTTAGAGACTTGGAGAAGTGGTTGGTGTTGGGACACTATATTTGTTGTTGAAGAAACAATACCACATGGATACTATACTATGCTAATAATTGGAAAAATTGTAAAGCACTAATTGGCTTTAACTGCAGACTTTACTCCAGTTTTGTTAAACATGAAGAATTCTGTCTGTGGTAGTTTAATAATCCTCTGTTGAAAGGTAAGGTCCATGTCCTCTCCCTTCATGTAGTGCTAACCAAAACACTACAGGCAAAGTGACATGGTTTACTTCCAAGGGTAGGGCATTAAAAGGCCATGCAGCTCCCAACTCTTGGAATCCTCCCCATGGGAAACACTTTGGGACCCAGCTTCCATACTGTGGGATACCCCAGCTATCAGGCAGGGTCATATGGAGATGCTGCAGCCACCGACCCAGCTCAGTCCAACCATCAAGCCATCCCTGCCAGGTGCCAATTATAGGAATGAAGATGCCTCCAGATGTTTCCAGCCTCCAGATGTTTGAAACATCCCAACCATTCAACCAGCTGAGGTGCCAGAATCTTAAGGCAGAGACATGCCATCCCTGCTGTGCTTTATCCAGATCCCTGGTCCACAAACCCATGAGCATGATCCCCTGGAGGTTGTTTTGCCCCACTGTATTTGGAACAGTTTTGTTATTGTTGTAGGAATATTAACTGGAACATGGTGTCCTCAGCACCGTAGGGACCCACTGTTTAAAGCTCCTTTTCTTGACTCTGGAGACTGAGGCAGGAGGATTGCAAGTTCAAAGCTAGTCTCAGCAACTTAGTGAGGCCCTAAGCAACTTATTGAGACCTTGTCTCAAAAATAAAAAATAAGGGCTGGGAATGTGGCTCCGTGGTTAAGCTCTCTAAGTTAGATCTCTTGTACCATAAATAAATAAATAAATATTCCTTCTCTTGGAGACCAGGGTAGGGAAATGGTGGGGGAAAGGGGAAGTTCTAGGGTATAAAATTTACCAAATTATGTTATGTGCAGTTATGAATTTGTAAAAAGCCCATTATTACTTATAACTATAATGTCCCAATAAAGTTCTTTTTTAAAGATTGACAAGAAAACTATAACCAGGAGTATTAAATAAATAGGTAAAATAAAACTCCTTTCTGTGAGTGATTTTATTATAGGGATTACTATATTTTAAATATATATGAAAATAAGATTATCAAAAATTCTGTGAAATGTTATTGAAATGACAGAGCTATTAATCTAAAAATTACAGGTTTCGTGGTATGCAGGGAAACATTTTTCATGTGTGGCCATTATTTACTACATGAACACATCTCTGATTATTCCCTAGATAAATTCCTAGAGATGATCTCCCCGGGTCGATGGTGTGCATGTGTTAAAGCCACAGTGGTCTTTCTTTCCTCTAACTCAATGCCCTTTATCTCTCCAGGTTGGGACTAGCCTAGCCCTGGACCAGGGTATGGGCTGGCCTTTCATGCTTCCTCCGTCTCCACTCTGCAGCTTCCAGGTTGTCTGGGAGGCGAAGGGATGGATGGAAGAAATAAGAAAGAACAAAGGTCTTTTTACCTGGTGTGTCCTCTCTTGGTTTCACGTCCTCTGGCATGGACAAGCGCTTAGGTATTGGGGTGAGTTCTCTGGGAGATCTTTGGGATGCTTTCCTTCCATACAGTGACCTCAAAGGGGAAACATACTTCTGTGACCACCCTCCCCACTTAAATCCAACCCACACCAGAGAATTCCACAGGCTCTTGCTGCTGGTTCCTCTCCCTGTGGGCTCTGTCCTCTGGGTTGGGTGCCAGCAAGGCAGCACATCCCAAATGGCCTCTCTCCATGACATTCCCAAGGCTACAGGCAACTAATTTATCCCTTTCATACCCAATGAGGTGGGAGTGGGGCGACAGCAGGTGCTTCCTCTCTTTGCAAATCCTGCTCTAACTAGTTCCTTTGTCCTGCTCCAGGGGGACGGAATGCAAATCAGATATTTCACTCTCTAAGCTAAGATCAGAGAACAAGATGCCTGGTTTTCCTTGTGTCACTCTCAAAGCCTGTGATTCATCTGAATCAGGGCCCAGCAAAGAATTCTCCCCAAGGTCAAGAACACTCCATCCAATGCCTCCTCCAATTTCCCTATCTTGGGCATACTGAGCCTGGAGTAGTGGTAGAGGCACAGGTGGGAAGACAGTAGGTTGAAGTGGCAGACACCTTGGGGATATCTCCAGGGCTTCTCCATAGGATGGAGAGAAGATGGACTTCTGCTTCTCAGCTCTTTGGCTTCCAGTCTAACTAATTGGACAGCAGGAATTTTTCCTACATTCTCTTATAGTGACTGGTTAAATAATTACAGGATATTCTCTGCAAAGAAATTAAATATAGCCTTTCAAATTCCAAGGACCACTTAGTGGAAAATATTTATTTAATGATATATATTTAATGATGTTGCTAAATGAAGAACTGAAACACCCAAACCAATAATTCCACATTTGTGAAATACATATTGTATGCTTGAAGATGCATAGGAAGGAACATTAGAAGAACAGTCATCATATTATTTTTTCCCCCAGAGGGACAGAATGGGTGATTTCTTCTCTGTGCTTTTGGAGGTTTTAAAATCTCTTTGATGACCATGCTAATCTGATGAATGCAATTTTTTAAATGTGTAGCTCCCTACAACCTTATTAACTTTTGATTTTTCAGCACCAATGGAGTCATCTTTGAAAGCAAAATAGAGGGGCAGAAACAAACTTCTGTTGCTAAGTTCCCTGCAGTCAGCAAGAGCACACCTGTGCAGGGTCTGCATCAACACAGGCCACAGGAGTTCAGGTAAGGCAGCCTCATCAGCAAGGGTCTGGGGAAAGAGTCCCTGGAGGAATGATCAGCATCTGGGTTGCACACTGGCAGGGCACCTGTCATGTTTTAAAAACTACTGATACCTGGGCAGCAGGATTTTTTTTTTTTTAAATGAGAGTGATTCTAATGTGCAGCAAGGTTAGGAACCTCTGCCCAAGAGGCAAGCCTCACCTGCATGTCTAGCTTCCCATCTCCTAGGCACCTTCTCCAGGTGTTTCTCTGATCCTCTCCTACATGAATTGTCTGAAAGTATTTGATTATAAATATTGTCTCTGAATGCAACTAGAATTAAGGACAGGAAGATAAGGATTTTAGGTAATGGATTGGAGTGAATAGTATCTCCAAAAGATTCATGTCCACTAGAACCTTAGAATATGACCCTTTTTGGAAATAGGGTCTTTGCACACGTTATCATGCTAAGATGAAGTCATATTGGATTATGATGGGCCCTAACGCCCAAGACTGGTATCCTTACAATGAGAGGGAGGGCTGGAGAGACACCTCCACACAGCACTTCACACATGTGGAGATGGAGGCAGAGATCAGAATGATGTAGGTGAAAAACCAGCCTCTATCTCAGAGCAAAGCCTGTCCAAGCAAGGGACATGCCTTTGTCCTTGGAAAAACCCACAAGAGCACTCCTAAGCACATTCCCACCCTGCAAAGTTGTTTATCTACAAATAACAGGAGAGATCTGCTGCACCAGGTGTCCCTGACTCAGGCTAG